CCCACACCCACACCCCACACCCCACACCCAGCCACACCCACACCCACACCCACACCCACACCCACACCCACACCCACACCCACACCCACACCCTTTATCTGGTTTCTGAGCAAAGAAATGGTATATTATCCGTCCTTTGCTCTTATATTGAGTTTCAACTTAAATCATTGAGTACCATCCAATAGCTGTATAATAATAGGATAACATCGCGTATACGTAACAGTATAAACTATCTATAAAGTTCTATCACATCAGAAATGATACTGTTTTTCGTAATAATACTACTATAAAATAATTTGTGCTTTTTCGTCAGATATTTCCATACGCACAAGACCAATGTCAGTACTATGAAGTATTACTAATTCTAGATTACATCACATTTTCAAATGAGAACATTTGAAACCTTCAAATTTCTGATGATGTAATTTCAGACTGATACAATATTATAATCAACACCTGAGTTACGTGCACCTAAATACCTTCTTAGTTTCGAAACATAAGTTTCAATTTGTTTTTGTTCAATACTGTTGTAAAACAACAGCTCAGTTTGCGAACAATACTCGGCAAAAGGTGAATACAAGAATTGAAGTTTCACTGCTATTAGCATTTTTCATCATATTCGAAATCAATCTTTTATCTTCTACCTTGACATATAGTACTTTGACTTATTTCATATTGTCTCAACGTTATAATCACAGATTTAGAGGAACTTTTACAGACTACAACAGTGAATTAAATGCACTCTAATTCAACTCATCAGGCGTTGAAAACATTTAAATTAATCTTTGATCAAGAATGAACGTGTGATACCTGGCACAACTAAAAGGATCACAATATTCATCTTTAATCATATGTTTGTTGGTAGCACTGAATAGCAGAATGTTTCTTATGTTGCTATATGACGCTGAAAGTTATTGAAATAAGAAAGATAAAGCAAAATAAAATATTTTACAGAGTATAACTACTTTACTTTTACAAACGATAACTTCTATTCAATGTATAGGTTGTAATCTTAAAATGATTGCATATTGTTCATGGATTTGAAGAAAATTCAGAGCTGAAATATGCATGAAGAATAGGAAGAAAATATACGAAAAATATGATTATTTACATGGTGACAGAATATCTTGTATGGCTTAAACGAAGGCTTGTTGCTACTTAGGTCTCAAACATTTTATACTCATTGGATAGCCCCTGATTTACTCTATTCAAATCTGTGAAGAAATTTCTGGTGCCATAAGAATCAGCAGAGAAATGTAACTCGCACTGAAAACAAGTAAGAGCAAAAACCATGAAAAAGATAGTAGGGTCGACTGTCTCTTAAGAAACACGATTGGCCTTTCTGCATAGCAACAAGAATCATATTGGTTAATTCACTTTGAATTAACTCAGTCTGTTTGAAGCCTAAATGAACACATTCTGTAAATGTCCATCATATGAGGATAAGTAGAAGAAAGACAAACAATGTTCTTCATTCATTCACTGATTTATTGTCGATTGAGACTAGACAAAAGTACATCATTATCTTCACTGACGATGTCAGTCAAATAGAAAAAATCAGCATATGCATGCCTTCCCCCCCCCCCCCCTCCAAACATACTGACTTAATTCAAAGTGAATTAACCAATATAATTCGCGTTGCTATGCAAAAAGGTCAATCATGTTTCTTAATTAACTTTGAATTGGTCAGTCTGTTTCACCCCAATTTAAACGTTGAAATTCATCGATTCAGAGAGCAGAGAAGTGACGATAAACATGCATAATTCACTTTTTCATTTAAACGATTTGCCCGATGAAATTCTATTGATTATTTTTAAAAAATTGAATAATGTCGAACTACTTTATTCTTTAATAAATGTCAATAAACGACTACAGAAAATTGCATATGATTCAATTTTTACAAGTCACTTGACTTTACTACGTTATTTTTCGAAAGATTATATCTATCCATTACTTGATCCAATAGTTGATCGATTTTGTTTGGATATCTTACCGGAAATTCATCATAAAATCAAATAATCTTGAATCATTAACTATGGAACGTATTCTTCGTTCTACAAATTATCCTAATTTATATGGACTTGGTTTATATAATATTCCAAATGAGACTGCTTTACGTCTCTTTAATGGTAAGAGAGTTTACTTTGATTTGTCTAATAACTTATAGATAAGAATATAGATAAAGATTCAAATGATTCATTTGAATAAATTCTTCATATAATTAAGGACACATGGTCGTAGATTTTATTCATTACAAAATAATTTTGTATTTTATCTATCTTGATCTACGAATAATAAATAATAAGTAGAAAATTATCATTAACAAAAATCAGTACATAAAATTGAATAAAATTCGAATATCCGTTCATATAACAAATAATAATTTTTGTAGATATTAGTCAATAAAACAAAAGAAAAGAATCGGTCCTATGATTTGATCAATATTAAAAATGATTAGTTCTTTCTTTCAATCATATTGTTTTTCATGTTTAGATGAAACTTGTTTTATTCATACCTTCAAAAATCAAATTTCATCACTTGTTATCAATATTATTAATAGTGGAAACAAATGTTTGACAGAAAAGATGGATACACTTGTATTTACACACATCTTTATTGTGTTCACTAATTTACAATATTTAAATTTTCATCCATTTTCAATATATTTTCCACGACTATCATTTGATATTTCCTCTCCAATTGTTTTCTGTTCAACTCTGTTAGAATTGTATGTCAACGTGGAATGTTTCACTGATTGTCTTTATCTACTTGATGGACGCTTTAATCAACTTCAGACACTTCATGTTAATATTACTCGACTTGTTTCTTCGCATTCAACAATCAATAATAAGGTAAATTAAAATGATTTAATAATATTATTTTTAATAGGAAAAATTACATAATTTAAGATATTTTTCGTTGTTTTGTGATATATTGACAGTTGGTTATGATGAATTAATTCTACCACTTCTACAACGAATGTCAAATCTAGAACAACTTGATTTACATATTGTAGCCATTCATGATGATAAATTTATTGATGGTAATGATTTAAAGAAAAATATTATCAATAATATCCCACAATTAAATAAATTCGAATTTAACATTCACTCCAATGTATCTCTTGATAATCAAAATGATTTACTCTCGAATGAAGATATTCGAAAGACATTCAAAGATTTTAAAGATAGTTTAGTTATTTCTCGTAGTGATTTTTTTCCAAGTATAAATGAAGGTCAATGTCATATTTATTCATATCCATATAAGATATCACATTATAATAATATAACAAATAATTTTCCAGGTGGATTATTCAAATATGTTTATCAAGTATCATTATATGATGAACGTCCTTTTGAACATGAATTTTTTATTCAAATTGAGAAATCATTTCCATTTATGAAAAAATTAAAAGTAGATAATAAAGAACCACAAAGTAATAAACAATGTTATGAATCAAGAAATAATAATCGGAATTTGTCAAACATTAAATATCCGCATCTAACTAATCTTTATCTTGATTATAGTCATGACGATTATGCCGAACAATTTTTACTTGATTTCAAAATGTCTTTGCCAAATAATGTTTATCTTCATATCAATTATGAATCTTTACAAAGAGTAACACACGATTTCACACGAGATACAACACGAATCAATTGTAGTAAATTGGCTCATTTACATATGTAGGGTGAATTTCCAATTACTAAAGAATTAGAAGATTATTTTCCTCTTGTAGAAATACATTCATTTTTGTGAGTTATTGTTTAAATTAAACATATTAAAAATAGATTGATTTATGTTGAAATAAAGCTCGAAAATAGAAAAAAAGAATATGATGAAAATTATGAGAAAATTCTTTTACTAGAAAAGAAATTATTTAGAATAAAGATATTGGTCTAATTATTTACCATTGTATGAGCTCAAATCTGTTTTTTTTAGGATTGAAAAATAAATATAGTTTTTTTTAACGTATTATTTTCTTTATATTCGGCTGTGAAGAGGAAAGAACATATACTTCATTGTTTCTTTACTTGTGTTGCAATACAGAACATGTCAATGGCAAAATTTACAGTAATCAAATTAAAGAATTGTTAAAGATTTAAACAAAGTCTTAATATGATACTTTCAAATCAGGAGTACTAGTCTTGCTCTAGAAATCTGCAATACGATTCGATTAATTTTATTTGTTGAGCAATTTATTTCAATTTTCTTTCATAATAAACCTTTTAAATTTTCCTATTAAAATAATTTCTATGAAATGAGAATAATGAATGTGACCTGTTTGAAAAATAATCTGTCATTCTTTCACACATTTTCTGATGTCGGAAGTAATATTAATAGTTTCTATTTTAATTTTAAATCGTTTTGCTTAGCCAAAAGTGTCTGTTATTTGGCAGTTTCCATTTTTACCGAATGGTCATAGTAGGTGTGGTCTAGTAAGTGAGAGAATCTTTAGCTCTTCTGGCTAAAGCATAACGCTAGACAGATGAAAAGGAAAGAGAGAAAAAAAACGCTTATGGCAATCGCTCAATTAATTGGAACTTGTTCGTTGGCATTGTCATCTGAGAGTCGATGGTCAGTCGGTAGCACCCTAACGAGCATAAAATCTGCTCGAATCATTCAACGAACATGAACATCAATATATCGTTCTTTTCTTTCACATCATTCCTTCTTCTTTATTATCAACCAATAATAACTAGTCTTTCTCATTGAACAATTTTTGTATTAGATAATAAAATAAAAGAGAAAAAAAATCGAACTAGAGAGGGAAAATAAGAAATGCATCGATTCCCAAGAGCCTTGTGAGCTATGTTGTTCGGAAGTATAAGTGAGTGGGAACAACATTAGCTTAATGGAAGGGTGTGAATGTGGGTGTGGATGCATGTCTTCTTTACACCCACACCCCACATCCTTAAAAAAAGTATCATCTCATAGGACAATAAAGTTGTATTGCTCTTCCAACAATTTTCTAGGAAAGGCGATTGCCACTCGTTATTCATAGACCAGTGTGTCGGATATAAAATATATATCTAAAGATTATTGATTCGCGAAGAGGTTTGATTTAATCATTTTGTACTTTTGTATTTAAATGGTTTAGATGAAGACATGCATTGAAATTCGGCTAAAACGAAACTAACGTACATTTCAGAAGCGAAATGATCGATCTGTCAACAAAATCAGTCCGAAAAGAGAGTTCATAAAGTTACTACTATTTGTTGTAGCGATTCTATGGACTCTCGAAAGATGATACAGGCGCTTCATGCTAAATAAAATATACAATTTTATAGAATGTTGACAGCGCATTTTTTAGTAAGAAATATTAGAAAGAACTAATACGACTAAGGTTAGAAAACTCAAAAATAAAAATGACTCATTCTTTTCGAGCTCCGACTATATACAAGCCTTTACAATGTGCTGATGTCATGCGACATCTCACCACTCGTCGTTTGTATTTGAAGGCGTTGTGAAGTGTGACGTCAATGCAATGGTGATTTGCATGCATGTGCAGATTGCTTGTCTCAATCGACTAAGTGAGTATCAACATAATTGTGTTTCTTATCCTGATCTTTTTTTTTACATAATTGTTAACAGATTTCTTGCAGCTCGATCTGTTCCCAATTGATAAAAGTTTGAAAATAATGGCACAAGCTAATATTTTTTCAAATGATACTAAAGAGATCCGTATGGTTCTTCTCGGCGGGACGGGCAGTGGTAAGAAATGTAGCAACAATGAGTGACAAAGAACCATAACACTACCTTACCATTTTAGGAAAGAGCTCATTTGGCAATACTATCTTGGGCGAGAAAAAGTTTCGAACTGCTTTGATTGGAACAAGCGTTACGCAAACCTGTGCGATCGGTTATCGTCAATTCAAAGGCACAAAATTGGTTGTTGTCGATACCCCAGGTTTTGTAGACCCAACCATATGTAATAAACAAATACAAGAGCAGATTGCAAAATCCTATCAAATGGTAGTACCTGGGCCGCATGCTTTTCTCGTTATACTTGATATCTCTAGTCGTTTTACTCTGGAGAAGCAGCAAACTTTTGAATATGTTACACAAATTTTCGGACACAGAGCAATCGACTACTGTATTATCATTTTTACTAGGCTTGACGCATTAGATGAGGGCATCAGTATTGAAGATTATCTTAGCGAGCTTGGATCTTCTAAACCTCTAAATAAATTGCTTGATAAATGTGGACGACGGTACGTGGCAGTAAACAATAAAGGACCTGTAGTCGAGAAGGAAAAAACACTAGAAAATCTCCTTGGCAAAATTAATGAGATGGTGTCCAACAACGGTGGCAAAGCCTATTCGACATCTGAATTCGAATTAATCGCTGCTGAAATTGCAAAACTGAAGGCAGAAGGTGAATATCAACGTGTGAACTTGGAGACGTCTATCTTATTATATTCTTTAGCGAGGAACATAACCACAACTCTCTTCCTCATCTTGTGTAGAGCATTGTCCCAAGACTAAGAAATAAGAATTTCTAGAATTCTAAGGGTATATCGTTAAAATCATATCTTTCTGTCCAATCAAGCGAAAACTTTGCTCCGTGTCCTACTTATTTCCCGACATTTGCTTAATTTCTCCTTTAAACTTCACCCCATTGTAGAAGACCTAAGGTCACCCATGATGTCTACTCATAGAACCTTTCGAGAACATCTTTTATTATGACTTCTCAATCGTAAAGGCGTAAATATTGCTACTAAATAACCCTTTTACAGTGTCAAGTTAGTTCATGCTTTTGTATTTTGGCATACTCGACCATTACTTTTTCCTATATCTCAATTCGTTCAAATTTTTTTCCATCGTTATTGCTGCATTTGCCTCTTTTTAATTGATTTCTCCTGCTCTTGTTTAACTTTACTACCATTGATTGTTTGATAGTCAATCAACGTTGAATTGAAAGTAAATCCTGGTGACGTTCGAAGAATGGACGGAGCATTATTCTCCAATGTACAATTACTATCATGAAAAGCAGCTTCAAAGTCTATTTTCTTGAGAGCCCGTAGCCAATCTTGCACAAAAAGCTCGTGATTGTGATGCTGTCAGTTTCAATCCGCTTTTTGAGCTCGGAGAGAGGCTAAAAAGAGATTCGTTTTCCAAAGGAGCAAATAAGACAGAAATGTCAGCATTTTTCAAAATACACTTCTGTGAAAAGTATTGTGTAACTGAAAGCATGAGTACTACAAAACTTCTTAAATATACACATCTGGTGGAGACTTTCAATAACAATTCATTTGAGAGATGCTTTCAGCCTAAATTTCAATGATTCATACTCTTGGATAAGGAAAAGCTAGATCTTTCAAACAGTTCTCGCATGTTTCTACAAAAGGCTTTAATGATTTTTGTAAAAAGTTCTTAGATACATTAAAATCAAATACTTTCATATCTAACTTTCGACTAAGGGTGTATCTTAAAACTCAAATATTTACATAAAGAAGATAGAATGAAGAATATGTGTTATAGTATTTGGTTACAGAAATTATCTATTGTTTCTCAGTTACTATAAAAGGCTTTGTTTCTTCACAGGTCCATTATCTACTGCTTCAGTCACTAGTCCCTTCTATAATGCATGCCGAGACAACAATATCAGTTTGGTTGAACATTATTTGCAAAGAATGTCGCTGGAAGAAATTAACCAAATGGAACCCAATGGCTCTACTGCACTTCATGTAGCTGCATATCGGGGACATGAGAAGATTGTTGAACTGTTATTACAGAAAGGTGCTTGTTGCTCAACAGTAAATAAATATAATTGTACTCCGCTTGACGAAGCTAAAACTGATAACATAAAACAGTTGATTTGTCGTCGTATGAATAGGACTCGTTTTATCAGTGACGCGTCGATCGAGTGGATTCTCTCTACAAATGATGCAGATTTCCAAGCAGCTGAGTATTGGGAAAATTTGAAAACATACGGCACAGATCCACAGTTTTATCAGTTGATTACTTATATTAAAAAAAATTATCTTGAAAAAGACTTACAAGATATTGATGGTATTAATACAATTAAACAATATTTTGATATGGCAATAAACGAAAAAGATCCCGTTTATTTATTACAAGCATATACAGCGGAGACTGGTTTTTATTCTACGCTCAATGTTCATCTAGCACAATTACAGCTCGAAAATCTAACTGCCAAAGAAAATCTTAGTCGAGCATATTATATTGGAATCATTGCTCGCCATCCGAAATTGAAAACATTTTCATATACTGGAGTAACATTTCGTGGTATGATGATTACTAATAATGATCTCAAACAATACAAAAGAGGTACACGTATTTTAACTAAAACATTTTCATCAACATCAAAGCAAAAAGATATAGCATTAGGATTCCTTCGCGACAATAGTGGTGCAGATGATCGCTTAAGTACAATATGTGTGTATGAAATACGTAATGAAAGAACAGCATTAGATATTGAACATATATCGTTATTTCAAGATGAAAAAGAAGTATTGGTTCTACCATATTCTGCATTTAAAATAATTGATATTAAACAATATGAAAACGGTTCACCTAGAGTTGAAATAAAACTAAAAGAATGTGAACCGTGGTAGTCCACACTCGTGGCTGACGTTTCGATTTTTAAACTACTATATTTATTCATATGTCATTATTATAATAAATAAAAAGATGAAAATAACAGAAAACGTTACTCTCATTAT